CAAGTTGCGCAGCCGACTAGTGCGCCAATTCTCATACCACCGCGTCCTGCTCAACTCCCTCAACTCCCCCCTCCACTCGGTGAAAATGGAATCGCGGAGGCGGGTGAAATCGCAATGTTCGGCGTTGTAGGGGTCCGCGAGACCCCAGGGGAAACGGCGTCCGACGCGCGCCGCAGGTGAAGCTTTAGTATAGGGGGGAAGGTCGTAGGGGTCGGGTGAGAGGATGGCCATTGGTGTGTACGGGGTATCGTCGTCTGCCCCTCCAGCCATGGTTGGAGAGGAGAGGGAGAGGGGGTTAGTGAGGGAGGAGTGGCGTTTGTGCCCCGACAGTCGCTTGTTGGAGGATTTTGGCTCCGGGGGAGAGGAGTAATCGGAGTCGGGCTCCGAGTCTGGGTTGCCTGGGTGTGAGAGGTCGGAGGAGGAAGGGTCGGAGATTTCGGAGTCGTCCTCTTCGTCTTCTTCTTCGATGTCGTCTTCGAGTTCGAGAGCTTCGAGCGGGTCCATCTTAGCGGTGCGGATGGAGTGCCAGACCGCGCGCTTGAGGAAGGACATGTGTCCTACGGTCAACGTGTCTGCTTTCGAGATCACAGGGATGACGGTGGTTTTGCCCCACAGCGAGCGCATGACTTGGAGGTCGAGGTCGTCGTCCAGACCGCTGGTGCTGGCCAAGCTGGCAGTGCCTGACTGAGAGGCCAGAACTGTAGCGTCCAGACGAATAGGATCCAGGACGAGGAAGACGCAATGGATGTGGGTGTCTTTGACTCCTGGGCTGCGCATGACTTTCTGCTCTTCGACGAAAGTCTCTTCGAACTTGGACTCCACGAATGCGGCCATTTCGCGGAGTTGCAGGTCGACGATGTTCTTTTCAAGACCGGCAGAGTCCCAGAGGGTTAGGCCGACTCGCTCGCCGTCCATTTCTGTCTCGAGGTAGTGGGAGGTGAAGGAGGATTTGGTGGCGTTGACGGTCGAGCTTGGCTCTGTCGAGGAGGGCTTCGCTGAGGGTATGGCGAGTGAGTGACGGAGGAAGGAGATGAAGGATGTTTTGCCGCTGTTCTTTGCTCCGATTACGAGGACACTAAACACAAGTTAGCTGCTGCTCACAATGTGGTCTCCGTCAAGGAGGATGAAGACTCACTTGAACGGCGTAGGATCCTTCCGTCTGCGAACCCTGCGAGGACTGCTCACGTTAACACCAACAGTCGAAGAAGCATACGAGTACCGGCCACGATTCGTCATGCTCTCATGCCGCTCCACGTACTCTCCACTCGACTTGCCCGGCGGCGACGCACCACCCCTCACAGCATACGCCGGCGAGGACGAGCTGTCTTTGTAAGACGGCATGTTGCTGTTGCCGTTGGTGTTGCTGGCGTACGGGGTCTGGCCTGGTTGGGAGAAGTTATTCGGGTTGCGTGCAGAGTTCGAAGTGAAGTTGTGATGGTTGTTGTGGTAGGTGTCGTTGTCGCCGCCAAAACTCGGCATCCCAGGTAATGGCATCTGCGACGGCAAGCGTGGAGGTAGTTCGTTCTGCCTCGCCAGCCGCTCCTGCTCCTGCTTGTCCAGCTCCTGCTGCGCGCGCAGCTTACTGCTCTTTCTCAGCATCATGCGCCCGCCTTCCGTCGACAGCTTCCTGTTGTTTGAGAAAGAGGTGCGCTCGTTTTGCGCGGCGTAGTGCGCCTGTCCGATGCGCGTGCTGGGTAGAGTAGGCACGGGAGGTACGTCCTCGCTGTTTCGATCGACGGAGTGGTCTCGCGAAGCACTCCCTCTGCTGGAACTCCGACGCAGTAGTTTGAACGAACTCCAACTGCCTTGTCGTCGTGGGTGTCGCACACTCTCCTCCGGGCTCTCATTCACTACGCGCAGCTGTTGGGTCGCGTGCGGCGGAGGCGAAGCCGACGCTCGTGGTAGGGAGGTCGACGCACGTGGGAATCCAGCCGAAGGCGATGCACGCGGGAACGAAGATGATGTCCGTGGTGGTGGTGGTGGAGTGCGATGCGAAACAGAATAATCACCATCAGGCAACTTCTCCGCGCTACTGATGCCCGTCGCCGGCGTGGCCATGTGAGCGACAGTACGTGCGACGAGCAATCAAAATAATGAACGAATAATGGATCTATGCATGCACAACCCCCCGGCGACCCTGTTTCATCCAATGGACGCGCTAGACGGCCCTGCGTTATTAATTGCAGGGGAGATGGTTGGAAGGAGCGGGTGTTTGAGGTGCTGCTGTCGTGATTCGTGAAGCGCGGAAAGGAGAGTTGTACTGAGGACAGCAGACCCCACGTAGAATATGAGTGGAGTCGAACAACGAAGGTTTGGATATCGATAATGGCGACTGTAAACTTTCAATGGCGCTATAAGACGCGGACGTGGTGGGGATAGCGGGTCGCGAGCAGCTTGTGAAACGTCTCGGGAGTTCTGCTGGACGTATCTTGCCGTATTCTACAGGCCGCACGAGAAGAACAACACCCTACCAACTTCGCGAGCCTCAATCTTGGGACAGAAGAGGGAGAACAGCTTCACCTGCAATCACAAGATACGCTTTATCGAACCAACGACTCCCCGAAACTCAGACTCCACAGAGTTGACATTGACAGCCAGGACCGTTGGCCATCGAAAGCTAATCTTCTATCCACCGTCATGATCATCACCGTCCACCCACTATTCGTACAGTACAGTATTCAGGCATCGCTAAACAACAATGCTGAAGTGTGAAGTGCATCCAGCTTCCCAGGACATTGTTGAGGATGTCCATCAACGCTGTGCTGGCCATTCGTATCGCTGAGCCGTCGACAACCAGGACAGGCTCTACTCATTCCTAGCCCTCTTATTCCCTTGCCCCTGTCCACCCATCCCCATCCCACCACCACCACCATATCCTCCCGCTCCGCCACCCTGCTGCCCGTTCCACCCACCACCATTAGCATTAAACCCACCCCTCCCCATCATCCCCGCACCCATCCCGTTCATCCCACCCATCATACCTCCCCTCCCCATCCCACCCATCATATTCATCATATTCCCCGCTCCCCGATTCATCCCCATCATACCCCCTCCACCACGATTCATCGCAGCCATATTGTTCCACCCACCCATGTTCATGCCTCCCATACCCATATTCGGGAACGCGGCCGCGGCTGCCATCATGGGATTCGCGCCCATACCATTCTGGCCCATACCGTTCGCCGCGAAGCCTGCTCCACCTTGGTTGAATCCACCGCCATTGGCACCGTTGAATCCTCCTCCGCCAGAGTTGGAGCCGTTCATACCCCACCCCCCACCCCCACCCTGGTTCTGCGACTGCGGCCGCCCATTCCCATAACCCCCCTGCCCACCACCATAACCACCCGCACCACCGCCCCGTTGAAACCCACCTCTCTGAAACCCACCACCACCGCGATTATACTGATTGTAAGCTCCCCTGCCCCTCTCCCCGCCTCCTCCCCCTCCTCCCCTGTTACCACCAAACCCACCACCCTTATCCCCCACAGCTCTAAACGGGTTCCCGACGCCCGTATACTGCACCCCCACCACCGCTCTCTTCACCCCTCCTCCCTCCTGGGAAGTTTTGTTCGCGCGATTGATCTCCCGCTTCACGGCGCTAGCGAAAGAGGCAGAGGAGAGCTCGAGGTAAGCTTCCCCGCGCGATTTGCCGTTTTGGTTGTGCTCTGCGATCCGCACATCACGAACAGCGCCGCTATCGGCCTCGCTTCGCTCAGCGTAGGCGCGCAGGTCGTCTTCGGTAGTCCACCAGTCGAGATTCGACAACCGGAGGGCTGGTGTGGCGTTTGGGGACTGCGGTCGCGCGGATGAGGTACTGTTGGAGCGTGGAGCTGGATGCTCCAGCTTTGGTTGCGGTTGTTCAGCGGTGGAGGTGTAGTCGGCTTCGCCGTCAAAGAAGTCGATATCATTGTCGTCATCGGGCGGAGCTTTGCGCTTCGTGCCTTGCTGCGGCTCTGCTGCGGAGGTTGGAGGTTGGTCATGCTGTGTGGTGGTGGGCTCCGAGCCGGAGACTGCTTGTGCTGTGGTCGCGTCGTTGGGTGGGGGTGCAGGCTGTTGTACGTCGCCGTAATCGTCGTTGTCGTAGTTGTAGTGCTCTTCGTAGCTCTGGTCTGGCTGGTCTGCTTGGTTCGAGTCGGCTGCGCTTGGCTCTTCGGGCGGAGCGTCCTCGCCGTAGATGTCGATGTCGAAGGTGTCGTCTTCTGCTGACATGTTGGGCTGCTGAGTGAGTTCAATGCCAGAAGGCAGGCTGGAGGCTAGGAGAAGGCGAGAGTCTGTGACGTTAGCTGAGCGATTGCTCGGATTGGCTGTCTGTTCCAGCTAGTATACAATGTCGGCCTCTTGTTTGCTCGTCCCGTTTGAAGTGCCAATGGTTCGCTGTAAGTACAATACATTATGATCAGCCATGTTCTTCTTGTCCGTCACTGCTCTGATTCGCAATTCCGCCTCTCCGCCGACAAGCACCCACACACCCAATCCGCAACACAATCATACGTACAGGTACAATGGTCAACAACTGGCCCAGAATAGCCGTGAAGCTGTGAGTGAAACAAATGATAGATCCCCAGGTATGCTCTCAGTGTTCTCTCCAACGTCGCCGCTGCCTCTCTTCAAGTGTACTCCTGGTCCTCCAAGCTCGCTGGCTCTTCAGCTACTCGACACGGTCTTCGCAGGTCTCGCGTCAGAGGTGTTGAGCTGGAGGGCGTGGCGAGCGGACGGATGGTATTGAAGACTTCCAAAGAAGCTGGTCAGGTTGCTGCTGAGGGCTTCGTGGTATCTCCTTTATGTTGGTGTCGGATCTGGTGTTGTTGTCGGAAGAGGAGCCAGGAGAGCATTGAAGATTACGAGAGAAGACGCCCATTGGCTCCAACCAACCCGACGCTAGCTGCCGTCAGCAACTTAGTTAACTATTCGTCCGTGCGCCAGACATTCTCGGCTCCTCTCCGGCCCACAGTCAAAGCATTGATTTTCAATCTTTGCGCACGTGCTTCTTATCGACACTTTCCGATATGGTCTAGTGGCTAGGATTTCTCGCTTTCATGTCCTTCGTGACCCAAGAGCCGAGGAGGCCGGGGTTCGATGTAAGCATTTGACGACGGTCCTTCCTACCATTGCTCAAAGCTAATGAAATTCAGTCCCCGTATCGGAATGATACGGCAGGCGTCTACGTCTGCTCAACTGTGCACTTGGTTCAATCCCAGGTTGTGCGAACAACGGTCCTCATTTTTGGCGAATTTTGGCGCAATTTTGCAGATTCCTAGGCTATTGTCGGGTGCGAGCACATGGTTGAATGGTGTCGGGCTCAAATGAGCCTTTTGATGCGATCCATTTCAAGGTGGACACTCAATGGCAACGAGAACTCGTTGATTTCGCGGTGGAGCAGGAATTTTGTTTTTGTCCCAATTGGGAAGGAGCAGGCTCACCCCTCACACTCACCCTGCTGGCTCGGGGACGTAAAGCGGAGGCATGGGGGTAGGGGGTGGGCATTTACAGCTTGGGGGCCTGAGAAGGGGAACAATGGGGCATCTAGACAGCATGCAGCGAAGTGACTGTACTTTTCTGTATACACTACGTACCGCTCGTATCCTTGCCTACAAAACGCATGCCCAGGATATCTATCATGTCCACGTCTCTCGTTCCCTTCGATCCTTCATCCCAAGCCATCTACACATGCCATCATCTAGTCCTATAGACACTGTATCCCATCCCTTCGTCTTAGTCCATACCTGCGTCAGGTCCTGGCCCAATTGCTTCATCAACTACAACTGATCAAGCAACCCCTCCGCCTCAAGCAACAGCACAATCTGATGCACAGCAGTCCTGACATTGTCACGGGCCACATCCACAACCAAATCCGCCTCCTTCTCATTCGGCGCCTCATACGGGTCATCGACACCAGTGAAACCCTTGATCTTACCAGCACGAGCAGCCTTGTAAATCCCGCGCTTGTCCGTCTTCTCGCAGTACTCGAGCGGCGTAGCGACGTGCACGAGGTAGAAGGATCCGTGCTTCTCGACCATCTCGCGGGCCGCCTTGCGGGAAGCCTCGAAGGGAGCAATGGGGCCTGCGATGACAGCGGCGCCGGCACGGGTAAGCTCGGAGGCAACGAAGCCGATACGCTGGATATTCTTGTCGCGGTCTTCGTGGGAGAAGCCGAGTTCGGAGGAGAGCTCGCTGCGGACCGTCTCTCCGAGGAGGAGCGTGACGGAGCGGCCGCCCTGCTGGTTGAGGGTGACGTTGAGCGCGCGGGCGATGGCGTCTTTGCCGGAGTTGGTGTAGCCAGTCAGGAAGACGGTAAAGCCCTGCTTGTTGCGCGGCGGGTGGGATTCGCGGAGCACGCGGACGACTTCGGGGTAGGAGAACCATTCCGGGATGTCGCCGCCGGTGCGGAGACGGCGGCGGAGCTCGGTGCCGGAGATGTCGAGGGTCTTGATCTCCTTTGGAACTTCGTCTTTGGGTCGGTACTCATCGGAGTCGGGCAGGTAGGTCATCTGCTGGAACTCGACGACTTCGATGCCGAGCTCGTCCTTGTACTTCTCGACGGCGTACTGGGCGTCGTATGGGCCATAGATTTCCTGGCCTTTGCTGTTCTTGCCTGGGCCGGCGTGGTCACGGCCGATGATGAAGTGGGTGGCGCCGTGGTTCTTGCGGATGATGGCGTGCCAGATGGCTTCGCGGGGACCGCCCATACGCATAGCGAGAGGGAGAAGACCGAGGACGGCCATGCCGTTGGGGTAGCGGGGCAGGAGGGCTTGGTAGACACGGACACGGGTGAAGTGGTCGATGTCACCTGGCTTCGTCATGCCGACCACAGGGTGGATGAGGACGTTGGCCTGGCGTTGGCGGGCGGCGCGGACGGTCAGCTCACGATGAGCACGATGCATTGGGTTCCTGGTCTGGAAGGCCACGACGCGAGACCAGCCGAGTTTGTCGAAGTGCAGACGAAGCTCAGCGGGGGTGTAGCGGAGACCAACGTAGTCGTAGTGCATGAGGCGGTCAATGGCCTCGATCTTGCCGCCGACGTAGTAGTCGCCGGAAACCTCAAAAAGGTACTTGACAGCTGGGTGATCTGGGTCACCGCCAAAGACCTCCTTGGCCTCCTTCTTCTTGTCTGGCTGGTATACGTCGTCCACTGTCATGATAGCCAGATTGCGGTCATCACGGGAGTCACGGAGCGTGATACGCTTGCCGGCCTTGATTCCAAGCTCGTCAATGTCCTCCTTCTCGAGGTCGAGGCAGATTGGCATGGAGAAGAGGTTGCCATCCGCGAGTCTGTTCTTCGCAACCACACCATCGTAGTCCTTCTCGTTCATGAAGCCCTCGAGAGGGGAGAAGCCTCCGTTCAGGATAAGCTCGATATCGCACAGCTGGCGGTCGTTGAGGACGACGGCAGGGAGGGTCTCGGCCTCCTCGGCCAGTTCCTTTCGTCGTGGAGCATCGCGGGCAATCAGGTCCTTGAGGACGCCGCCGTGGGGTGGGTTGGCCATGTTGGGTGGTTGGTTGTGAGTGTAGAGAAGTTGAGCCGTCAGATGTAAGCAGAAGACGAGAATGAGAAGTCCAAAAGCAAAAGGAGAGTTTTGATCAACAAGCAAGAGCTCACCGTCTCGACCGTCAATTTTTTGCGGGCGCTATCGGTGACCTGCAGGGTCCTTCTTGTTCCTTCGACGTTTCGTCCAAATGCGTTGGTGGGGGACCTAAAAAATGGCCCGCAGGATCTCACGTCTCACCTTGTCTGACCATCCGATAATGGGAGTCCAATGGGAACTTCCACTTTGTACAGTGGCAGACCCTAGAAGCTGATGTTCTCCGAGTGATCAAATCCTTCTATGCTGTTGTACCAACCCTCAAAACCTCAAAGCAATCGATGTAATGGTGGGGAACGAAAAACACCCTTGGCATTGTTGGGCCTGAAGTGTGCAAACAAGGTTGGAGATACCAACTGCGTGGCTGGCTGAATCGAGCATTGGTTCGGACGGCTTGTGCGAGTTTCAATTCGGATCTTCCTTGTTGTGAAGGAAGGTTGTCCAATGCCTTCGTCAAGCCACGAAGATCACCAACGCCAGCTGAGCACGAGCAGTAAATTGCCTGGACGCCTTGTGACACACACGTCTGACATGAGATGACATGACACGAGATCTCGAAGAAGCAACCTGGTTGAAAGCGCGGTGCGTGGCTTTGTGGACAGTTGGGCGACGATTGAATGACGGAGAGTCATGAGATTGACGACGGAAAGGATGCTTTAGTGCAATGTGGTGTATTTCATGCCTCGTTCATATACCGTCTATATACGAAGACGATCTAAGTCATGCCTGTCCATCAGGCTTTTGTAGACGCCAATGACTTTTAAACACAACGCCCGCTAAAGTACACTCATCAAATCAACTAAGAGCGCCAGCACGCGGTGTTACGCAGACGACTCAACACTCAAGCCATTATGAATAGCATCGCTCAGCTCCCGCTGCCGTTGCTGTTCCTGCTCAGCAAGAAACATGGCATACCGCGACCTCTTATTATGAATCCCGCACTCCGTCTTCTGGCGCCCCTTCCACCGACCCGCACGCTCGTCTTCGCTGTCAGTGACGGGCTCAGTGGAGTGCCAGTCGCCGACAGACCGGTAGCCTTGGTCGAGCAGATCATTGGTCGGTACATCGTTGTCCTTGATATACGCCTGCACTTGCTTGAAAGACCAGTTGGCAAGCGGGTTAACTTTGATCACGCCAGTCTCCTCCTCATACTCCAGGATCTCAAGCTCGCCGCGTTTTCCGCCTTGAGATTTCCGGCGGCCAGTCATGACGGCTTTGACTTTGAGCTCGGCGTAGGCTCGTTGTGCTGGCTCGACTTTGGCGGTAAAGTCGTAGAGTTCCTCGTTCGTCTTCCATAGCTCGTTGCCGTGTTTTGTCTCGAAGTCCTGTGTGCTGTCGCAGCCTTCCGGTTTGTAAGTGTGGATCTTTAGCCGAGGGTAGCGCTCCTTGACCCGCTCGACGAGGTCCATGGTCTGTGGGAAGTGGTAGAGTGTGTCGATGAATATGAGCTCGATGTTGGCTCGAAGTGGGAAGTCGAGTTTGTTCACCATGTCCATCATTGCGAGGCCTGTGAGCCCGAATGCGGAGGTTTGGTAGAGAGCAGGGAGGGATGTCATGCACCATCTGAGCACATCTGCGGGTTCTAGTTTGGCTAGTTGCTGGTTGAGGAAGTTGAGGTGTTGTCTTGTGAAGTAGACTTCTGGTAATGTGGCAGAGGACTCGCCGCTGGAGTACCCCGAGTCGACGTCTCGCTCTGAAGACGTGGAGCGCTGTCTGTGAGTCATTGTTGTGTGTATTGTATGTGTTTTGTCGTGGATGTTCCGGATGCGGCAATGGTAGAGATTTATGGTGGGTGTGAGAGAGATGCAGATCAGGTTGTGAGGAAGGTGAGAGAGGGGAGAGAAAACACGTCAGGGAAAACGGAAGCAATACTCAGCAGCATCACAGGTGGAGTTACAAACTCACGTAGTGCGGCGTAATAGACCAGTCTTTGAAATCAAATGGCGCGACCCGGAACAAAAGACTATTGTGGGTTTCTCATAGCCCAGAACCAATCAGAGTTTGAATTGGCGGCAGTGAGTGGAATGCGCCAGACGAAGAGTTCTCGTCCGTACGGCGTTTAGTGATCGTACTAAGGCCGTTTGGGTGCAGAGATGCGGTTGCATATTTTTGGAGGAGACTCGAGCGGCAGCAGCGCCTCTCTCCCCAGATGTTTCGATATGTATGCTGAACACATCTTCCTGCGACGACCTGACAAAGACTGCTTTGTTCTGGTTCATTTCGTCATTGTGATATGCCTTTTGCCATTCCCATGAAAATGCTGTGCTGATTTCTCACCGGATGGGCGGGGCGCGATTTCGGTTTTGGTGGGGACAGGCTTGCGTCGCTGGTGCGATCTCGATCCTCGGCACTTCGTTCGGCGTTGAGTCGTCGAAGGGATGGTGGGCTTCTGGTCGCTCGACGTCCTCGAGAAGAGACAGAAAACAGAGAGGTAGTATGAGAGACATGAGGTGAGGTCGTGGTATGTATATCTGTGCGGTTGGCCAACCTATAAACGCGATTGTCGAGTTCGCCGACTTCATCGCGTGCGTGCGTGCTTTCGGGGACCTGGCTTTCACGTGGTCGC